ATCCTCAAGGAGAAAGCAGGCAAAAACTTCTTTGACCTTGGCCACAGCAACTTCTCACTCAACACATCTCTAGAGGCAAGGGAAACAAAAGCAAAAATGAACTATTGGGACCTCATCAAAATAAAAAGCTTCTGCACAGTGAAGGAAACAATCAGCAAAACAAAAAGGCAACAGGCAGAATGGGAGAAGATATTTTCAAATGACATATCAGATAAAGGGTTGGTGTCCAAAATCTATAAAGAACTTATCAAACTCAACACCCAAAAGACAAATAATCCAGTGAAGAAATGGGCTAAAGACATGAACAGACACTTCTCCAAAGAAGACATCCAGATGGCCAACAGACACATGAAAAAATGCTCAACACCACTCATCATCAGGGAAATACAAATCAAAACCAGAATGAGATACCACCTCACACCCGTCAGAATGGCTAACATTAACAACTCAGGCAACAACAGATGCTGGCGAGGATATGGAGAGAGAGAATCTCTTTTGCACTGATGGTGGGAATGCAAACTGGTGCAGCCACTCTGGAAAATAGTATGGAGGTTCCTCAAAAAATTAAAAATAGAACTACCTAAGACCCAGCAATTGCACTACTAGGTATTTATCCAAGGGATATAGGTGTGCTGTTTCAAACGGACACATGCACCCCAATGTTTATATCAGCACTATCAACAATAGCCAAAGTATGGAAAGAGCCCAAATGTCCATTGATGGATGAATGGATAAAGAAGACATGGTATATACACACTGGAGTATTACTCAGCAATTAAAAAGAATGAAATCTTACCATTTGCAACTACATGGATGAAACTAGAGAGTATCGTGCCAAGTGAAATTAATCGGAGAAAGACAAATACCATATGACTTCACTCATATGAGGACTTTAAGATACTAAACAGATAAACATAAGGAAAGGGAAGCAAAAATAATATAAAAACAGAGAGGGGGACAAAAACATAGGAGACTCTTAAATATGGAGAACAGACAGGGTTACTGGAGGGGTTGTGGGAGGGGGGTGGGCTAAATGGGTAAGGGGCATTAAGGAATCTCCTCCTGAAATCATTGTTGCACTATATGTTAACTAACTTGGATGTAAATTTAAAAAATTTATTAAAAATAAATAAATAGTTAAAGAAAAAGAAAGGCCCCCCTTCTGCTGTTAGGCCCCATTTACTTATGTTCTATACTTTGCATCTGAGTGAACCAAAGAAGCTACGTTCCCACTCCAAGGGGGAAGCAAAACAGTTAATCATTCTCTGAGTTTTGCCTAAGCCCTGAACACCTGATAACATCTAAGAAGAAACACGTCCCAAACATGATTCAGGACATTAGATTCAAACAAATCTCAGCCATCAAGACCTCCTACCTTTGATAATTTAAAAAAGTTTTTTAATGTTTACTAATTTTTGAGAGACAGACATAGTGTGAGCAGGTAAGGAACAGAGAGAGGGGGACATGGAATCTGAAGAAGGCTCCAGGCTCTTGAGAGAGGGAGATACAGAATCCGAGCTATCAGTACAGAGCCCGATGCAGGGCCCAAACGTGATCACGAACTGTGAGATCATGACCTGAGGTAAAGTCGGACGCTTAACCAACTGAGCCACCCAGGTGCCCCCAGTGATTTAGGAAATAACACATATTCCTCACCTGTCACTCCTCTTTGATCAGACCCTACCTTGGATTCCTGAAGGAACACGTACTCTGGACCCCTTCCCAATATAAGCCTCTAACTCCAAGCAACAACAAGACCCATTCTATTTTCCTTTCCTAGTCTCCCAGACATGCCTTCTGTCATAATCTATCACCATTCAATAAACTCTGCTTTTGCTTTTCCGGCTCACGTTTGATTTCTATCCTCTGGAAAGCCAAGAACCTCTTGGCTGGTCCTGTGGGACCCTCCTCTGGGTCCTCAGACCCAGCCTGTTTGTATCAAAAACATTATGCAAAATGCAATAAGCCAGACACAAAGGGCTGCATATTGAATAACTCCACTTGTACAAAATATCTAGAACAGGCAAATTCATGGAGGCAGAAAGTAAGTAGGTTACCAGAACCTGAGTAGAGAGGAGAGTAGGGAGTTACTGCTTAGTTCTCATTGGGTTTCTGTTTGGGGTGATTAAAAACTCTTTAAAATATATAATGGTGATGGTTACACAACACTGTGACTATAATTAATGCCACTGAATTGTGTGTTTACAATGGTTAAGATGGCAACTCTTACATACATTTCACTACCAAAAAAGCCCCTATTTATTAGGAAGAATTTGTTTCCCAAAGAAAAGGGGATACTGTTAGTAGAGTGAAAGAAAAGTCATTAAATAAAACCAAAAATAACTACTCCCCTAGGAGATAGTTCAAGCTGCTTATATTAGCTTTAATGAAGCCCTCGATATTCATTTTCATCTGAACTGGGGAGAAGAGGAAGCATATAACTAGCGCAGCTGCATCTTTGCCTAGAATGTCTAATTCAATTCTTGCATTTCTTTTTTAAAAATTTTTTAATGTTTTTATTTACTTCTGAGAGAGAGACAGCGTGAGCAGGGGAGGGTCAGAGGAGAGGGAGATACAGAATCCGAAGCAGGCTCCAGGCTCTAAGCTAGCTGTCAGCATACAGCCTGACACGGGCTCAAACCCACAAACCATGAGATCATGACCTGAGCTGAAGTCGGACGCTTAACCAACTGAGCCACCCAGGCACCCCAATTCTTGCATTTCTTGATAGCAAGGGGTGAAATGAACATGAAAATCTGAGAACTCCTAGAGGTGATGGTTATTGTTGCTGCTAAGTGTACTTATCTTGTTTTAATAGCACCACCTCCTGATTAAACTCAGAATACAAATATGATCACATCTTACTTGTTTGTTGTAAATGCTCAGCCCCAAATACCAGATTAGTAGGAAATTCTATTATTTCTTCTTTGCAGATGGGCTCCTCTTGATCTGTCCTAGAATCCACCTCGGGGATTCACACTGCTCAAAGGGGCAAAGGAAAGCCCCTCCTGTTCTCTAGGGAGTAACTTGCTCAGTCCACGTCTGTGATTGCTCCTCACTACCACAAGATGGTGGTGTCGGATCACACACATGCCTAATGAATGTGCATCTGCCAATCCTCCCTCTACCTGCTGTTTTCAGAGATGGGAGTCCTGGTCTCCCTTAGAGCACAACTCTTCAGTTCCTACACCAAGGACTAAGCCTGCTCCTAGACGAGTGCTTAGTCTGGCGCTTGCTATTCCACAGTTCGCTGACCTTCCCACAGGATCCATACAACCCAGAAGTCTCAGAAGTCCTCATAGCACAAGACACCTGACCATGGGGTTATTTGCCCTCCTCCCAGGAAAGTTTACCTTCAATTATTCCAGAGGGCTTGCGCCTACCTTTTTAGGTTGACTTCCTTCTTACTGTGACACAAAGATGATTTGAGGATATCCCCTCAGGCGAGTCTCAACAGAAAGGGGGATAAAACAAAACAAATCCCCGCTTTGGGGGCATTCTAGTACATTAGAAAATGCCTCGAGCACTTTTCCTTTGACAAAGGTCATTCTAGAATGGAAACTGCCTCCAGGATTTCCTGGGTTCACAAGACCTGGTGGCCGCCTCCTGCTGGCATGAGAACATCTCAGAGAGACCATATTCTCACTTCTTTTTCTTTTTTTGTTAAAAAAAAAACTTTTTACTGTTTATTTATTTTTGAGGGAAAGAAAGAGAGAGTGCACACACTCGCGCACTAGAGTGGGAGGGGCAGAAAGAGGGGCAGAGAGAGATGGAGATACAGAATCCAAAGCAGGTTCCAGGCTCTGAGCTGTCAGCACAGAGCATGACACAGGGCTCCAACCCATGAACCGTGAGAGCATACCTGAGCCAAAGTCAAATGCTGGACCCACTGAGCCACCCAGGCGCCCCCGTATTCTCATTCTAAATACATCAGCAGCAGAAAACATCAATAGCAACCCAGCACATGGATCTACAAACAGCTGTGATTATTTTCATTAGGAACAATGTGAACGCAGGGGAAACCTTACTTCTGCTTTATATGGTCATCAGAGGATACCAGAAACCAAAGCAAAGAGTTTGGGGAGGGTCGTTGAGAAGTTCACAGTGGTAGGTGGGCTACCAAATGAGGTAGCACAAACCAGAAAGTACTGGGGGGGGGGAGGAAGATAATTAGTCTAAACTGCCCACCAGAACCTGTCTCTCTCTCTCTCTCTCAATCTGATACACACACACACACACACACACACACACACACACACACACAGAGGCTTTGGGTCATATACCTTTCTGACTTCTAAGGACTATCTTTGGCCTTAAACCTCCTCAATGTCCGCTTCCTCCTCCTCCTCCGCCTCATCGGAACTCCCCACCATTCCTCCCTCCCACCCATCCCACTCCTCCTCTTCTTTTTTGTTTTATTAAACTTTTTCTTTTGAGAAACCTGTAGACTCACATGCAGTTTAAGAAACAACACAGAAACACCCCTTGTGTCCTTTATTGAGTCCTTCAATGAAAACATCTGTCCAAACTACAGTACAATATCACAACCGGATGTTGACATTGATAGTCAGAGAACATTTCCATCACGACCAATTGCCCCTAGCCACTCCCTTACGAAATCCTGGCCACCACTGATCTGTTCTCCATTTCTGTAATTCGTCATTTCAATAAAGTTACATAAATTAAATCATGGAGCATGGAACCCTCTTGGGATTGGCGTTTTTCACTCAGCATCCTTCTCTGGAGAGTCTTACAGGCTGTTGGGTGTTGATTGCTTTTTATTGCCTAGGGACGGAGAAGGGAGGGGCCCAGGGCGGGCGGGCTTTCCGCCACCCGGTACCCAGGTTCACCTCTGACGCCGGAGGTGTGGGGAAGGCATCCGCCAGGGCCATCCAGGCGGGGCGGGGACGAGGGCGGGGCCCGGCGTGGAGCGCGCGGGGCGGGGCGGGGCGCCGGGAGAGGCCGGGAGGTGGGAGTGGCGGGCTCGGGGGACCCGCGGGGCCGGCGCCAGTCCACGCGGCCCGGCCGGCGCACAGCGCAGCCGCGGCTCTGCGCCCCGAGGGCGCGTGCGAGTGCGTGTCCCCGCGCGGCCGGAACCCGGGCTCGGACGCCTAGGGCTTCGCTCCGCAAGGCTGAAGGCTGAGTCCTGCCGCTGATTCTCCGCCAAAGGCTGCGCTGCCCGCAGAGTGAGTTGTCTTCACTCGCCGGGGTGCGGGGGCTTGGGAGGGGCACTTTCCGGGGCGCTGCGGTCGGCTTCGCGGGCCATTCATCGTTTCCACCCTGGGGTTGTACGTACCTCTCCTGAGCCCTACTGCATGCTGGGTCCTGTTATAAGTGCAGAATCGTCTCATCTAATCTGTCCTCTAGTCGAGGAGGTTCGTGGTGTGTTTACCGCGCGCGGGTCACAAATGGAGCAGGGCAGCCCAGGGTCAGTTTGGACAGGGGGTGCCATCATTTAGGCCAAAGGGGCGCCGCCTGGGGCTGTGCTGGCCGCAGGGAGCCGCCTCTATTTTGGCTTGGCCTTTGCCAAGGGTTTCTTGGCAGTCTGTAGCAGAAACTAGGAAAGTAATCTTTAACTTTTTGTTTTTCTGAGAATATTAGCCAAAGAAGTACATGAAGAAGAATGTGTATTAAACAAAACCTCAGCTAGCAGTGCTACTTCTAGTTGGGGTTGGGAGTGGGTACGAGAAATAACTTAGGTACTCAGGGAGGGAAATGGTCACAAATGGGCTTGCATATACAGTGAAATGTTATCTAGCTGTTGGAACAACCGGTTCCGGGGCTTGTCTATATGGAAAGAGGCATGTAAGAAATACTGACTTTAAAAAAAGAACCTGATAGTTATTTTACCAGCAAAAATGGTTGGAGGCACCTGGGTGGCTCAGTTGGTTAAGCTTACTACTCTTGGTTTCAGCTCAGGTCATGATCTCATGGTTGGTGAGTTTGCACCCTGATAGTGCAGAGGTTGCTTGAGATTCTGTTTCTATTTCTCTCTCATACTCTCTCTCTAAGGTAAACATTAAAAAAATAGACTTCTAAAAAATGGGTTTATTTGGGAATTGCGGAGAATTGCAATCTGGGATAAGCAGGCTTAGACAAAGTCATGGAGGAGTCCCCAGGACAAAGAGGAGGAAGCTGGGAGAGGAGAGGTAGGGAAAGCTGTTATAAGCAAAACTTTGGTGGAAAGTTCGAAGAATAGTGGCTTCTCATTGGCTCCGCCGTTGCCGGGCAAGAGGAAACCTTTCTTCCTTCTGCTGGGACAATAGGTACCTACGTGCAAGGTTCATCTCTTTCTCTTAGGTCTGCAGTTTCCCCAGCCATAGGCGTGAGGGATACTTCTGCTGGCTTCTGACTCCGTTCTCAATGATGTTTCCTTTTATTAATCTTCTCAAAACTCAAACAAAAACATTATGAAACAGCTTCTGGGTGCTGATTAAGGTGAAATAATATACACAAAAAATATCAGAGGTGGGTATACATAGTTTAATAATGTGCTAGCTTAAAAAAGAACTAGTTCTTTTACTAGCGAAATGAATTCATTTGGGAACAGCAGAATTGGAATTTGGGACAGGCAAGCTGTGGCAAACTATAGGTCAATCTGGAGAAAACAGGAGAGGAACCTTACTTTATAAAGACGAAAGAGGAAGTTGGGAAGGGCTGCTTTTCCTCTCCTGGAGGAAAAGTGAAGAGTTCAGGGAGGCCATGGTTTCTCATTGACTGAGCAGTTTCTCACTGGCTAGGCTATTGCTCCGCAAGGAGTAAGAAAATCTTTCTTCCCCCTGCTGGGTTGTAAAGAGAACTGCTTCCTGTCCAGGAATGTGCTGTAAGCTGTGAGGGAAAGTTTGTGGGTGAGAGGCTGCCCTATAGGGTGTCTTGACTCCATTTTATTTTTTATTATTTTTTTTAATGTTTTATTTATTTCTAGGAGAGAGAGAGAGAGACAGCGCGAGCAGGGGAGGGTCAGAGAGAGAGGGAGTCACAGACTGAAACAGGCTCCAGGCTCCAAGCTGGCTGTCAGCACAGAGCCACCACGGGGCTCAAACCCACGAACCGCGAGATCATGACCCAAGCGAAAGTCGGACGCTTAACCGACTAAGCCACCCAGGTGCCCCTTTTAAAAAAATTTTTTTTAATGTTTATCCCGACTCCATTTTAGATGAAGTTTCCCTTTATTAATTTTCACAGACCACATCGTTCCTTTTTCCTATTGGCCTGGATAAGTGCATCATTCCTAACAAAGGAGAATACTACTGCTGTTGAGGGGGTTGTTCAGGGAAGTGAGTGAGCAGGGAGTTTAGAACACTAAATAGATGATAAAAAGTCCGGTTCTGAGTCTTTTCTCTAATTTGAGACAAGTTGCTCACTTCTTGGGCCTGTTTCTTAGTCCGTACAAATAGGAGAATGGATGAGAGGAAAGTCACAAACAAATGCCTCAAGCAGCTGGGCGTGTGATGTAAATATGTGAACCTGGCCAAGCAAAATCAACAGGGAATGGTGAGGCCTGGGGTTACACAAGAATGGATGCCTTGCCATGGGCACTGAAATTAAAAGTGTTTTATCCAGACCAAAATGAGATCTCAGGATAAGGCGTTTCCTGAGTTTGCAGGGACACTGAAAACCTTTTAGAAGGTACTCAGTTCCTGTCATTCTGCTTAAGGTGCTCTGATGTATAGCGTATAGAGTATAATCCTTTCCTCTGGTCTATAGACCCTACCCCACCTCTCTGACCACATCTCCCACCATCCAACTCTTTTTTTTTTTTCTTTTCTTTTTTTTTTTTTTAATGTTTTATTTTATTTATTTCTAGGAGAGAGAGAGAGACAGCGTGAGCAGGGGAGGGTCAGAGAGAGAGGGAGTCACAGACTGAAACAGGCTNTTTTATTTTATTTATTTCTAGGAGAGAGAGAGAGACAGCGTGAGCAGGGGAGGGTCAGAGAGAGAGGGAGTCACAGACTGAAACAGGCTCCAGGCTCTGAGCTGGCAGTCAGCACAGAGCCCGACGCAGCGCCTGAACCCACGAACCGCGAGATCATGACCTATGCGAAAGTCGGACGCTTAACCGACTAAGCCACCCAGGCGCCCCCTTTTTTTTTTTTTCTTAAACCACAGGCCAGTCAAACAGACTTTCTCCAACACTCCAGGCCAGTTCCTACCTCAGGCCTTGCACTTGCCATTCCCTCCACCTGAACCTCTGATCTTTGCATGACTGGGTTCATCATCCACATCCCTGTTCAGAGATAGTTTCCTGGAGCATCCTATCTAAAGTAGCAAATGTACTCCTGCCTTTTTAGCCACAAAAGGACTTTATTTTCTTATCACTATCACTTGGCATTACTATTAGTACTTACCACTATCTAGAATTTTATCATTGTTTTCCTTGCCGCCTTCTTTTGTGTACCCAGCCCTCCCCCAACTCCACCCCATAAAGTTCCATTCTCCTCGCCTGTGTTCTTCACAGCTGTAACCTCAGCACCTAGTGCAGTACCTGGCCAAGGGTGAGTCCCAGCTGAATGAATGCAAACATTGCAATTGTGACCCATTCACTGCTGTTAATGGAGACTCAACTCCAGTGGCTTAAACACGATTCAGAGTTTGATCTCCCATGTGAAGAAGTCTGAAAATTTGTAATTCAGAACCATCTCATGGCTCCAAGAAAGCATCTGGGGTCCAGGTTCCTTTCCCGTTTCTCTGCTTTGCCATCCTTAGTCTAAAGCTTCTACCCCCATGAACCAAGATGACTAATTGAGCCCTAGCTGTCATTCCACAGTCTAGCTCAGAAGAAGGCCCATGGCAGGGGCAAAAATGTTACCTCCACCCTCCTCACCCCCAAGTCAGCCCCTTTAAGGATATGTCCTAAGAGCCACTCCTAATGGCTTCTGCTTCACCTCTTTGGCCACCCCTAAGTGGAAGACTGAGAAATGTAGTCATTAGCTGGGCACACTGACACATGAATAAATTCAGGGACTGTTCTTAAAAAAAACAAGAGGGGATGTTGGAAAGCCAAAGAGGCAGATTTCTAACTGTTCAGTCAGTAGTCAGTTTGAGAAACGGGCAAGGATTAAACTCACCTTTGAGTTTATGATGGTGTTTGGAGTTCCCACTCTCTGTCTGACCGGAGCTGTTTGCCCACTCTACAGTGTAAGTGCCCTGCCTGCCCTCAACTCAGCTCCAGCCACAATTATTTAAGCCTCCTTCCCTCTCTGTCCCCAGGACACCCAACCTGGGGTAGAGCCCATCCCCCTGCAGCCCACTCCCACTTCTTGTCAGGGTTCTGCATATCTCAGCCCTTTACCTGGGCTCCTGGACAGCTGGAGGTATGCAGGGCCCAGGAGAAGCTAATTCAGGCTCTGCCCAAGATTCCAGTTGTAGCCACGGATAAACCTGATTTTTTTCTCTCTGTTCTTTTTGTTATAAAGATTCACTGAGGGTCTCCTAGGTGGCTCAGTTGGTTAAACGTCTGACTCTTGATTTTGGCTTAGTCATGATCTCCTGGTTTCGTGAGATCTAGTCCCACACCGGGCTCTGTGCTGACAGTGCAGAGCCTTCTTGGGATTCTCTGTCTCTGTCTCTTTCTGCCCCTTCCCCACTCATGCTGTCTCTGCTTCTCTCAAAATAAATAAATAAACTTTTTAAAAAAGATGCACTATGTTTTTTTTTAAGTCTTTATTTTATTTTGAGAGACAGAGATAAAGAGCGATCGAGGGAGGGGCAGAGAGAGAGGGAGACACAGAATCCAAAGAAGGCTTCAGGCTCTGAGCTATCAGCACAGAGCCCGACGTGGGGCTCGAACCCATGGACCATGAGATCATGACCCGAACCAAAGTCGGACGCTTAACCAACTGAGCCACCCAGGCACCCCTGCGCTGATATGTTAAAATTGTCATGTGGATACAGCACACATCATACAGCATCTTCACACTGATCTTGACTCACAGACTCTGGGTTGTTTTTCTTGTTTGTTGTTTGTTTTTTGGCAGAGGGAGCAGATTTGTTGGAGGCTTCTGATCTCTCCCAGAGTGAAGCCAGTTATTTCAGGGTTGGCTAGCCAAGATGAGGATTCAGGCCTCTCTTGTGCCTCTGAGGCCATCTTGGGAGAATGGACATTTTTCCATAGCCTTATTCTGTGCTGGCCCCTATGTGTGTACTGTCCATCTTGCCTTCTCAGCCACGCTGGCACTTTGCAGAGCACGGTAAACATGGTGTCTGTGAGTGTCTCTCAGTACCCTTGACCTTTGTTCAGCTGTGTTGGTTATCTGGAGGGGAAAATGTGGGAGAGGGTGTGGGAGGAAGGACACAGGGGCAGGCCTCCAGCTGCTTGTCATTTCTCATTTTCCAGGACCTGTTCACTAGGGCTGCCTTCACAGAAGGGTCTGAGTCCTCTCAAAAAAAAAAAAAAAAAAAGGACTGGTTTTGACTTTCTGCATGATTTGTCCTTATGAGGCCTAAATCTCCAGATGGTTCCCCCTCCTGAGAAGACTTTCTTCAGATACATTTCCATGTCCTTCATGAGGCCTGGAGTTGGTATGTGGATGTCACCACCACCCCTCCCCACGTCCTTCAAGTGTTTGTTTCTCTTTCAGATTGTCGGGGTCACTGAGGAGAGGGACTACAGCTGAAAGCCTGGGGCTTGCCACAGCGCATCCTTCTGTGCCAGGATTAACAGCAGACCCTCCCTTTGGCAGTGGTCAGAGGGGACGAACCCATCTTCTTAGGACATGGCAGGTGACTGTTAGCTATGGAGGACGTCAATGTTTTTAAGTACAGATTTTAATTAGAAATTGAATATGTTCTAAAAATCCAAACATTGAAATGTATAAAACTCGTTAAATGTTTTAACGTGAATCCCTATTTGTAATGATCTTGTTTTAGATTTTCCTATTTGTTTTACTGCCCATTTCAGCCCCACCAGAACATAAGTTCCTCAGAAGTGAGGGCCGTGCTTATCTTGTTTTCGCTCTGCTTCTAGACTCTGGAATGACTGCCAGGCTGTTGTAGTGTTCAACAAATACTTTTTTAAAAATTTATTTATTTATTTTGAGAGGGGGAGGAAGGGCAGAGAGAGAGGGAGAGAGAGAATCCCAAGCAGGCTCTACACAGTGAGTGCAGAGCCCAACACTGGGCTTGAACTCATGAACTGTGAGATCATGACCTGAGGCAAAATCAAGAGTCAGCCCCTTAACTGATGGAGCCATCCAGGGCCACTCAATAAATGCTTATTGAGTGAATGAGCCCCAGCAGTAACTGTGGTTTAAAATGCAGTATGACCAGGGGCACCTGGGTAACTTAGTCAGTTAAATGTCCAACTCTTGATCTTGGCTCAGGTCATGATCTCACTGTCCAGGGGATCAAGCCCCATAGGATTCTCTCTCTCCTCTCTCTGCCCCTCCCCTGCTCACACACACACTCTCTCTCTCTCTCCCAAAAGTAAACACTAGAAAAGTTAAAACTAAAATAAAATTCAGTATGACTTACTGTTCACTTTTGTCCCTGCTCACCACACACACACACACACGCTTGCACACACATACAGACACACACACCATTCTGCAGCTTTTTTTTCTGTCAACAGTATGACATACAAATCTTTTCAGAACATAAAAATCCACTTTATTATGTATTATGGTATAGATTAGGGTTTCTTAACCTCAGTACTACTGACATTTTAGGCCAAGTAGGTGTCTCTCTACTAGATGCCAGCTACACCCTCCTTCTTCGCTGTGACAACGTAGAATGTCTCCAGACATGGTGAAGAACTGTCCCCTGGGAGCCAACCCTGCCCCAACCTGAGAACCATGAGTGGAGATTATTTCATTTGGCTCCATTAGTAGAATTCCTGTGTTAACAAATGAGTCTGAGAAGTTAAAAATGTTAACCATTAACCTAACTCATGGAATTCAACCTTTACACCCAGTTAAATGCCCCAAAACTATCTGCTTCAAATAACATTTGTATTGAAAAATTTATATCAGGAGTCCAAATGTTTTTGTCTTAGACATTACCAGGGCAAGTTTCAGCCAATCACCAAAGCTGCTTCTCAGAAGAAAACAGTGCATAATCTCACAGAATCTTCTGAATGAAGGAAATAATTGCTTCAGAGGCAATTGGTATTAATGACACAGCCAGGACCTATAAGACCTGACTCTCCTTAGAACCTTTTCGTCATCAGTCTTGCCACCCAGAGTAGGTTCCGTATAGGCCTTGCCTCCCTCTGGAATTAGGGGTTTGGTTTCCATACCTTGTTTACATGTCGCATTTCAGTGGCCGTGGAGGAGAAGAAAGCAGAACTGTGTGTCGGTAGCTGATGCCGGCTCAGCATGGTTAGTGTGAGAGGTTAGTTATGGTAGCTTTTTTAAAAATTTTTTTTAAATGTTTATGTATTTATTTTGAGAGAGAGAGCAGGGAAAGGGCAGGGTAAGAGGCAGAGAGAGAGAATCCCAAGCAAGTTTCTCACTGTCAGCGCAGAGCCCAATTCAGGGCTTGCTCTCAGGATCGTGAGATCATGAACTGAGCTGAGATCAAGAGTCGGACCCTCAGGGTGCCTGGGTGGCTCAGTCAGTTAAGTATCCGACTTTGGCTCAGGTCATGGTCTCGCATGTGGGTTTGAGCCCCATGTCAGGCTCTGTGCTGACAGCTCGGAGCCTGCTTCAGACTCTGTGTCTCCCTCTCTCTGCTCCTCCCCTACTCATGTCTCTGTCTGTGTCTCTCTCTTAAAAGTAAATAACATAGGGGCGCCTGGGTGGCTTAGTCGGTTAAGCGTCCGACTTTCGCTTAGGTCATGATCTCGCGGTTCGTGGGTTCGAGCCCCGCGTCGGGCTCTGTGCTGACTGCCAGCTCGGAGCCTGGAGCCTATTTCAGAGTCTGTATCTCCCTCTCTCTCTGACCCTCCCCTGCTCACGCTGTGTCTCTCTCTCTCTCCTAGAAAAAAAAAAAAAAAAAAAAGTAAATAACATAAAAAAAAAAGAGTCGGACGTTCAACCGATTGAGCCACCCAGGTGCCCCCCAGTTATGGTGGCTTTATTTTGATATTGGCAAATAGGGCTAAAACCTCTCACAGAGGGTAACCACAGTAGATTGTACTTTAAAGAAATTTGTTGTGTTATCTTTGAGGGATTATAATGGACCCATTTTATTTATGTGTATTAGTAAGCTTAAGCAATGACATTAAAACTGAATTTTTTTTTAAATGCTCATTATTTTAAAACTGTCCTCCATAAAAAAAGGTTGGTATTTCTTGGTTTCAGCGTATATTGCACGTACACATTTCGATTTTGTCTTAGTCTTTATGGAATTTTGACGAAGAGGAATCTTCTTCAAGAGAAATCCTTTCTTCTCCGATTTAGGCAAGAAAGTGCTCATTGTCTATGCGCACCAAGAACCCAGGTCTTTCAATGGATCCTTGAAGAAAGTGGCTGTGGATGAACTCAGCGCACAGGGCTGTACCGTCACTGTTTCTGACCTGTATGCCATGGACTTTGAGCCAAGGGCCACCAGGAAGGATATCACTGGTGAGTCTGGGGCTAAACGTTTTTTTTTTTTTTTTAACTTTCTTCTTTCTATTTTGTTAATTGAAAAAATGTTTTGAAAAAACTAACCATTGCCCATGATACCCTATTCTCACGTCTGTAGAGTCCACATAGCAGGTCTCCTTCTCATTCATGTCCCTGACCTACCTCGTTTCCCTGCCCTCAAGGTAACCAGTGTACCCACTTTTCTCTGTATCCTTCCAGAGACGGTCTGTGCTGTATAAAGTAATTACAGGCATATTCCCCATTTTCTCATTGACTTATCTATAAAATCTTTTGAATTAACTTTCCAGATTCAAAAAGTAACCAGGTGATATTTTGAGATCCCAATCCATTTACAGGTGAACTTTTATTTATTCAAGAGGATGGTGTGGATTTTCATTTCTTCACATCTTCTTTTTCAACCCTGAGGGCCTCTGTACATTTTCTTCATACAGACCTTGCACAATCTTGTTAACTGGTTTTTATTTCTCTGCATGAAGAAGGTTAATCTCTGTGTGCCTCTGTGGTGTGTATCCAGTCACTACTAATTTTCTTACTCTTTGTAGTAGATTTTATTCTCTGGAGCTTTCCCAATATATAGTCAAATCATGTGCAAATAATGATAATTTCACCTATGTTTTTCCAGTATTTAATACCTTTAATTTCCTTTTATTTGTAATTGTGTTAATGGCATCCCAAGATTTAATATTTAAATAACCAGGATTCCTCAAAACTGTCAAAGCCACATAAAATCAAAGCAAAAATGTGAGTAACTGTCACAGACCACAGGAGACCAATGGGACCTGACACATAGAAGCAATATGGTGCCCTGGATTGGACTTTGGAACAGAAAAATGACAGTAATGGAAAAACTGGGAAAATCTGAATAAAGTCTGGAGTTTGGCTAAAAATAAATAAATAAGTAAAATGTGATATTTAAAAAAAATGATATGTGCACTTAGCTATGTATGTACCCTGAAAACTACATAGTATTATTTTTGTAAATATGTTGTAAAATTTACTTAAACACTGTTGTACTATAGATGGTTTATTTCTTACATATTTCTTTCAATAGTATATTTTTGTTATTAGCCCAGGAAAGAAAAAAAAAAAAGAGTTGGATGCTCAACCAACTGAGCCACCCAGATGCCCCAAGGAGCCACTGGATTTTAAGTGGATAAAGTAACACAAGCTTATTGAAAAAAATGTTTTACAATAGAGTAAACAGGATGAACATAGGTTAAGAAGTGCAAGCCCCTTTTCACATATACTCCAGAGCCCTACACTGCATGCAGAGACAAATTAGCCTAACTTTTTGGTGTAGATTACTGTGGGTCTTACTTTAAATATTACCAAAAGTACATATCCACATAAACTACAGTTTTGAAACTCTGTAGATGCTGATGTAAGTCGTGCCACATCATGGAACGTGCTTTATTCATGTAGTTTCGGGAGTCTTTTTAATGATTTCATAGCACTCCACGGTATGTATTATAACTTATTTACCAATTCCCTTGCTGATTTATATTTATATTGTTTCCAACTTTTATTCCAGCCATGTGCCAGTCTTTGTTTTAGGGTTCTGGGTTTCCTGTCTTGCTTTTTATTTCCATAGCCTGATCCCAGGGCCCAACACCTGCTGGGGTGTCATTGAATGCCTGGCAAACTGCTTTGGGGAGTCCAGACAGCAGCGATGCTGGTGGGATTGGCCCGGATGGGCTGTGGGTGCATATGAGAGAGTGAGAACATCTGGCCTGTTCTTCTCCAGGTGCTGTTTCTAATCCCAAGTCCTTCAATTATGGGGTGGAAGCATATGAAGCCTTTAAGAAGGGGGCTCTGACCAGTGACATAATTGACGAGCAGAAAAAGGTTCTAGAAGCTGATCTAGTGATATTTCAGGTTTGTGTTTCCTCTAATTATTATAATGAATTAGAGTCATTCTGTGTACAAGCTCTTTCCAGATACGGAGTTTTACACTCCTCGAAATAGTATTAATGTTTTAGCACATTTGCACACCTATTTCTGTCTAATTGGGTAAGGACATTCATGAAGCCACTACTCTTCACTCAAAATCCCGACTCCCAAGTAAATGGTAATTTCCCTTTAGCCCAGTGGTCCCATAAATGCCTGGATCATGTAGGTGGCATTGCCTTAATTCCCTTCTAATCCCCACCCTACATGCGCAGAGGCTGAATGAAAACCAGATTTGTCTACACGAGAGTTTGTCAAGGTAGTTCAAGCCAAGTGCAAGTCCTGCCTTAAACATCCTGATCATTAAGAGGAAAATCTTTTGTTTCTTTCCTGTCGCTGGTTGCCTCATCCCCCCACTTTCCATGTATTCACTCACAAACTGTCCCCAGGCCATGACTCACCACAGACGGAGCTGGGGCACTGCTTCTGTGGGCTCTCACTCCTCACGGCTGCTCCCGCCACAGCCTGACAGGCATGTGCTTGAGCTCACCATGAGCCTGGCCGCAAAATAAACCTGTGCTTTCCGGGAGCTGTTGGGTTGACAGAAATCCAGGTCCATTAGGAAAAAAGAATTTATTCTAAAGGACCTGGTCATCTGCGTCTCCTGGAACCCGGTGACAGGCAGGCAAGCTGGGCTTCAGGGGCGGTGAAACTAGAGGCTGCAACCCCTCTGCCCTCTCGCTCTGATTCTCATCTGCTGCTCTCCGCATGCCGCCTCTGTTCTCCTCTCTCACTCCACGTCAGGGACTGAGGTCTCTAGATCCAGAATCTCCAAGATGGATCTGATTGGCCCAGACTGTCTCTGTTAGCCCTTCTTGAGGGTGAGGAGCAGGTGGAAGAACAAGACCACCATGAGGGGCAGGGATGTGACCGTTTTGCAGGTGAAACAGCATGTCCTTCATAAAATCACCCTGCACATATGAGAGGAGGGGCGCTTCACCTGTCCTCTTATGCCCTGCCCAGGCTGCCTCCATCCACCCCTTCCTGGCACCATCCCTTGCTTTACCGGGCAACCTGGAGCTGCCAGCCTGGTCAAAATGCAAGATGTTCTTCTGTCCTAATTGCACATGGCTGGGTCCCGGTGCCAGAGACCTCAGTTGCCACATGCTTTAGCATCTGGAGTAATAGCCTCGCCAGGACAGGAGGGCTCTGTCAAAACTGGCCCAGCACTGTGGGCACATGGGCCAGGCAGAGCCATACTTGGCTCTCACTCTTCTCTTCCTGTCCCCCTGGGGTCAGGTGACCACATGGAGCCCATTTCTCCTCCCCTACCTCCTCCTCCACTCCTGTAGCTGGATAGCTAAAGCAAGCCAAAGCTTGTTCTTTCTGAAATGGTCTTTCTTTTTCCCTACTGCATTTCACAGCTCTTTTCCCTGGGCTTTTCCTCTTTCATGATACTTTGCCCAGAAAGTCTGCATTGTAAGTTTATTTGTTTCATTCAACACTAAAAAAATTTCATTCATCACTACTGCTTAGTCGTGATCTTTACTCTCCTTCACTCACTGAGCATTGACTCTGTTCTGAGCACTGTAATGTGTCATTGAATCCTCCCCACAATGCTGTGAGCTAGCAACTTGTACTAGCCGTTTGCTGATCAGGAAAAGGAGGCGCAGAGAGGTTAAGTAACATGTCAACGTCACACAGCAGTGGGCTGTGGAGCTTAAATTTCAGTGCCAAGTCCTATGTTAGATTTATAGCAAAAGTGCATGAAACATGGGCTTCCTTCTGCCTTTGGTAACAGATTATTATCTGTGTTCATTTCTTTTCATTGAAAATGATGTTGGATATAGTGTGAGGACCAAAGAGGACTTTAGGGAAATCTTACTGCTCGTGTGTGGAATCTGAGGGTAAGGCTTTAGTTTGTGAATCCAAAGCTTCTCAGAACTTAACTCAGTGTGACTCCCCAATGGCAGCAACTCACCCCCAGGCACATAAAAGGGCAAATTCTTCTCCACCCGCTTCCTCTTGTGCCCCATGATTGGGTCAGTCACAGGGACAGCTCCACAGACCCAGTGTCCGTCAGCATCCCAGTACCTCCTCACCTGCTCAGGGACCAGCCTAAGGGGCTGTCCCGGGGGGACGCAGAGCCACCTGTAACAGCAACTGGGACCATTGTCAGCTCTCGCCCGCCCCACCCCACCATCACCCCATGTCCACACTGGGTGCCTAAGAGTGAAAGGGAGGAAACACCCACCTGTGCTGGACTCTGGTTACACTCGCCTGCCCAGACCCCGGGAAGAGGAAGACAGTGGGGTTCCTTGTGAGTCACCAAATATGAAGCCCGAGAGGGCCCACAGCACTCGTTTCTCCCTGTGTTGTGTCCCCAGTTCCCGGTGTACTGGTTCAGCATGCCAGCCATCCTGAAGGGTTGGATGGACAGGGTGCTGTGACAGGGGTTTGCCTTCGACATCCCAGGATTCTATGATGCCGGTTTCCTCAAGGTATGTACTTCGGGGTAAGGATCACTGTGTACTGTCGGCGGGGGGGAGGGAATCTTGTCAAGTTCTATTTCTAGTTTGCTTTTTTGTAAACAAATACTAATTGAGCACCAAGTATATGCTAAGCCCTGTGTGCTGCACCTGGGTAAGAAAAGCATGGTCTCTGAAGTCACAGGGCTTCTGTCTAGTGAGGTGTATAGATGCATCCACAGCTAACTACATGCATGGCCAAGAAGGGCCTGGAGTTAGTGTGGCGGGAGGGCCGGAGGGCCACACAGTGGCTCGGGAGAGGGCGTCTGCTCCTTGCTGCAGAGATGAGCCGTGGCCCCACAGCGGGTCACCTCCCTGGGCCTCGTGTTCCCACCGTGATGAACAACATGATGTGACACCCGTGTTACAGGTTGAGGATGGCATAGAACCTGATAGATGCACAGTCCACGGTGGCCATGAACTTCGTGCTAAATAATTTACTGAGATAAATGATGTTTTAAATTCTAAAAGCCTCAGAAGATGTTTTTATAAGTGTATATAAAGAAAACATTGAGTCACCAAGGTCCATCTTGGATGGTGAAGTAATGCACCATTTGCTGGATGGTCCTGTGTGTCAGGGACCTCTGTGTCAGGGTCCTGTATGTCAGGGATCTTTGTGTCAGGGACCTCTGTGTCCAGGGACCTGTTTATCAGGGTTCTGTGTCAGGGACCCATGTGACCCTGGTAACTGTGTGTCACGGACCTCTGTGTCAGGGACCTGTGTGACCCAGGGTCCTGTGTATCAGGGATCTTTGTGTCAGAGACCTCTGTGTCAGGAGCCCATGTGACCAGGGGCCTGTGTGTCAGAGTTCTGTGTCAGGGATCCATGTGACCCAGGGTCCTGTGTGTCAGGGACCTCTGTGTTGGGGACCTATGTGACCCAGGGTCCTGTGTATCAGGGACCTGTGTGCCAGGGTCCACTTGGTACCTCATTTGCCTTCATGGCAGCCCCTGAGGTCGGCTGGTCGGCCTCACCTCACACACACTGTCCCAGGCCTGCTCTCTACCAGAAGTCAGGTCCTATCCGAGACCTGTGTCCACTTGATCCCTTCCCTTCCTGTTGGATGGGGTTTCCACCTGTGGCTGGGCTTGGCAGAATGAGAATGTTATCATTTGTCCATCCCTGGAGGGAATTGACCCCAGACTTTCCCTCCCGGTCGTTATAAACCTTGGTGCTAGAGTCACATCCATCTCCTCTCTGGAGGCCACGCAAATGCATTTGGTTTCTCCTCTGCAGAACAAGTTGGCCCTCGTTTCATTAACCACGGGGAGCACATCCGAGATGTACATGAAAACCGGAGTCAGCGGAGATTATCGATACTTCCTGTGGCCCCTCCAGGTACCTACTGCACCCCACCCCCCCACTCCTACAGCTCCCCCAGGTGTAAAATAAGATGTGATGTAAGCCTGAAACATGGACCATTTTATCTCCACCTGAATACAAGAAGTTATAACATTTTGCCATTTTAAATTTCTTACTTAGCACTAAAAAGTTGGTCATTGGGAAAACATGTAATGATAGCATTTGATATTGTCGGGTAGAAGCTAAGCCAGACCTGGTTAGCTCATGTCTCCGCTATGGTGAGTAGAACCGCCCCGAGTGTGTGTGTGGAGCACCGGTGACGGGGGCTGTCCACACTGACTGGCAGAGCTTTGTGAAGGCGGCATCAGCCTTGAACCCTGGCAAGAGGTGCCCCAGGGCCAGCATTCCCAGCAGCCTCACACCCACCACAGGTGATAGGTCCGTGGAGCTGGGGGCTGTGCTGCATCCCCAGAGCCACACCCCTCTCCAGGTTCCCGGGACTCAGGGCCTGCCCTCCTGGGTAGGCCCCATCCTGCGTCTGCGCACCCCTGGGCGATCTGTGAAGGGGAAGATGGGGCAAAGCATAAGCAGGCTGGGGTGTCCACATGTGAGGCACAGAGCTGGGGGCGAGGAGGAAGAGAGCAGGCTCTGGGTCAGGTGGCTACATCCTGGCTCCGAGCTCCCAGGAGGCCGAGAAACCTATATGCAAACCGTTCTTCTAGGATCTTATAAAGGGACCTTTGTCCCTTTGTCCAGAGAGGAGGAGATCACCTATTCAGCAGTTTGTGAGCTTACTCTAAAAATGAAGACAGTGGCGTGGGGGCCTCTTGTCCCCTGACCTACCCCCGATAGGGCAATCCTGGACTAAGGCAGGGTTTTAAGAGAAAGAATGCAGAGGGGGGGAAAGTGATATTTCTAGGAAAAAGTGGTCTTCTTTGAAAGGAGACAGGATAGTGATTCCATTTAGTGATGCTCTGCTGAAGAAAGAGATAACTTATAGGCCTAAACTCTCTAATCCACAGGTCAACTCGTCTCTTAGAGGTCATTAGCCAAATTTAAATTCTTCTTGTTTTAAAAAAATCTTTATATATTTGTTTTCAGTTTTCAAAAGTACATGTTGTGAAAAAAAGAGACTATAAAATATAAAAATAGAAGGTCCTTTTGATCTCTCCCCTTAAAAATAATTTAATAATTTGATGTATTTCTTTATGGCCCATACATATTTTCATCTGTATGCTTGATATAATTAGGGTTATTATGTTTATGTTTTTACATAAATCGTATACTACAAATACCACTACGAATTTCTCGTTATTTTTATTTAACATATAACTTGAACAACCATCTATGGTTATACACTATAGTTAGAATAATGTCACATCATTCTAGAATAATCCTTTGTGTGAATGTACCATAATTTGCCTAAACAGTCAAAACCATAAAGCTGACTGACTATCTGAGTCAGAAGCAAAGATTACAGATTAACCTCAGTTAGGATTTGAAACTTCCAACTGTCCAAAGTTCTTCACATCACTTGTAAAGGCCCACGTGGTGAGGTTATATAGGGCAGCTCAGGTGTTTCCGGCTACCTGGTAGCATTCAGCTGTTCTTGTTTTTTGAAGGTTTGTTTCAGGCCATCCCCTCCCCCACCTTTAATTATTTAACTGAATGATACATAAAGGGTGTGGCCTCTGATCTCTTCCTTGCTTTCTTTGTGGCTGTAGCATGGTACCTTGCACTTCTGTGGATTTAAAGTCCTTGCCCCTCAGATCAGCTTTGCTCCCGAGATTGCATCCGAAGAAGAAAGAAAGGCAATGGTGGCCTCCTGGGCCCAGAGGCTGAAAACCATCTGGGAGGAAGAGCCCATCGACTGCACGCCGCCTTGGTACTTCGGGCAGTAACGCTTGGTGCATCCACATCACAGAAGCAGCGCACCGGGAGCTGCAAGCACATGCCCAGGCAGCAGGATTTTATAATAAAACAAGGTCACAGCAGAGCGAACTGGATGTATTGAAAGAGGGGCAGGACCCAGTGTCTTACCAGATCCAGGATTTCACTCGCGTCAGCGGGTTTTACTCAGTGGTGTTCTCATGGATACCGTTATTCACCCAGGCTTGCTTTTCTTTGCCAGTGGCTTTCTGTCTCCCTGTTTTCAACCTTCATGGGTATTCTTCTGTTCAAACAGTTCTCCTGGAATGGCACACTTTTCTTCTTAATTTCATAACTCAACTTGGGAATTTCTATTTTTTTCATAGAAAAGCTTAATCTTCCATAGCTAGTGTTTTAGTGCTGTGTTTGGATAAAGAAGAAATATATATATATATTTTTTACTTTCATGCATGAAGACTGAAGGTTTCACTGAATAGCTGTTTCACATGCATTTAAAATCACTGAGTGCAGGTTATAATGGAAATTTCCAAGGGGCGCTCCTGGGTGGCTCAGTGGGTTAAGTGTCTGACTCTTGATTTTGGCTCAGGTCATGATCTCACGGTTTGTGTGATCGAGCCCCAAGTTGGGCTCTGCTCTGACAGTGCAGAGCCTGCTTGGGATCCCCTCTCTCTCTTTCTCTGCCCCTCCCTTGTTCTCTCTCTCTCTAAATAAACTTAAAAAAAAGAAAAAATCTCCTAGCGTCGCTCTGAGCACCCTACCCCTGTGCACGCGTTCATGTAACACGACCACTGAGTACCCAGAAGCGCAGGCACATGTAGCTGGAGGGGGTCTCCCTAAAAGCAAGTTTAAGAGATTAAATTTCCTCCCCGCTTGAGGACAGAGCCACTGCCTGTGCACAGGGGCCCTCCTTCCTTAAGGTCCCCAGTGCCACCCGCAGTGCCCACTTCGGACTCGCTATACCACTCCTCACTGGGCTCTCCTCATCACACCCCTTCTTGTTGGCACCCTCAGCTTTGACCAGCCTGTCACCTTCTCCGCCTCTTTCTTCCTCGGCATCTTCAGACCCTTTTCCATCTGAGTTTTCTTCTTCCTGTTTCCACCTGGCACATCATCAATCACTTCTCCGTGTGTGTCTCCTTTTCATCTGAATCTTCACACACAGCCTTCCCCACCAAACACTCAGAGCCGCCATCCCCAGATTCTCATTCTTCAGGATGGTTTCTTCCTAACTCCTTTTCAACCCCATTTTCTGCTAGTTATTTCTGGGAGCCTTCTTCAAAGCTCTTTTCAGAGCCATCTTCAGATTCTCTTTCCAAGACGTCTTCCTCTTCAGATTCCTTTTAACGGTTGCCTGCAGACTTTTTTCAAAGTCATTCTCTTCAGAGTCTTTTTTGAAGATCTTTTGAGACTGTTCTCTTCAGACTTCTGGAACTGCCTTCTGCAGACTCTTTTTTGGGGCCATGTTTTTTAGCATCTTTTTCAGAAGCATCTTCAAAATCTCCCCCATCTTCCCATTTTTTGAATATCTTTCCATGTATAGATAGATTCTTCAAATGCCATGTTAGTTGTGGCTTCTTGAGTGTTCATTCTGGATGTGTTAGGGTGCTCTGGAAAAGCCTTACCTTAGAAAGCCTTGATGAAGCAAAGGTGGTATTTGAACATTGAGCACCCCAGGATGTGGAAGAAAGACTTCCACAAAGCCATTCCGCTCTTATTCTTGGGGTCTTCTTAGCCTGGTCATCTATAGCCCCAGCCCACATTCAGACAGGGATCCTATGGGTCTTCTCAGCCGGGCTATCTGTAGCCCCACCCCATGTTTAGACAGGAATCCTATGGCTACCATACCACCTTCCATCAAAGGTTTGAGTGCAAAGATGGCTTTTTCAAAGACACAGAGGTTATGCCATCTGGTATCTGTTGAAGAGAAGGAGCTTCCTGATTGGCCCAAACTTTAAACAGTCTCCTTAAAGGGTTTTCTCTGATCCTGATCAGCACTAGTGGACCATTCTTAAAATGCATAGGATGAAACATTTTGTTGATGACCATTCCCTCATGGGGCACTAAGGATGTTCTAGCCGTACAGGTGCTTTTATTCCAGAACCAGCCCCTTCTTATGGGGCTTGCACCTCTTCCTTTCTGACGCCTCCTATTCCCCTCCAGTTGAAACTTAGCTACCTCAATATGCAATTTCTAGCTTCTAATTTCATCTTCATGCAAAAGCATGCTTGCCCAATCCAAATTCCCTCTTTAAATAACTGCAGAGCCCATCTGCTTTCAGATTTCCTTGGTTATCTTTGTAAAACCTGACCATAAATTCTGTCTGAAGATCTCTGAATCATGCCAAGTCAGAAGTTGTATAAATGCCTCCACCGTAATGTCTGTGGGCAAACCAGTTGTGTTTATACATGTAGCTCTGTCTTCCACATGAAGCCTTTCTTTTTTCTCTCCTTTTTGAGATCGGTGGGTTGGGGGAGTATTTCTCTGCAGAGGTTTGTTAGTGTTGCTGGCACCATCTTGTATGTTTGCCAGATGGGCCATCACTGAGAAACCATCATTAGCCAGATATGCAGCCATAACGTCTCCAGAGATCTTAAACCAAGCCTTCTTGTCTGCAAGGGTGTCAGCCAGCTGCTCCCCAAAAGGCTGGGTTTCTCCACTGGAATTCTTGGTGTCTCTGTATAGTTCTCGAATTTGCCATTGCTCATTTGCATATTCCTATCCAAGCACAGCTGACCCTTGAACAACACGGGTTTGAACTGTGCAGTTCCATTTACACGTGGATTTTGTTCAATAAATATATTGGAAAAATTCTTGGAGATTTACAACAATTTGAAAAATCTCACAGATGAATCATATAGCCTAGAAACACTGAAAAAATTTTGTTTGAAGGGATATGTTATTGTTTATTCTTTTTTTAAAATAGTTACATCCCAGTTAGTTGGCATATAGTACAAAAATGATTTCAGGAGTAGATTCCTTAATGTCCCTTACCCATTTAGCCCATCCCCCCTCCTAGAACCCCTCCACCAACCCTCTGTTTGTTCTCTATATTTAAGAGTCTCTTATGTTTTGTCCCCCACCCTGTTTTTAGATTATTTTTGTTTCCCTTCCGTTATGTTCTGTTTTGTATCTTAAATTCCTCATATGAGTGAAGTCATATGATATTTGTCTTTCTCTGACTAATTTCGCTTAGCATAATACCCTCTAATTCCATCCACGTAGTTGCAGATGGCAAGATTTCATTCTCTTTGATTGTCAAGTAATACTCCATTGTATATATTTACCACATCTTCTCTAATCATTCATCCAACAATAGACATTTGGACTCTTTCCATACTTTGGGTATTAGACATACTGAAAATTTTAAGAAAAATGTATTATTGTAAGAATGTAGTAAATACAGATGGAAAATCTGTGTTAAGATTATCAGTAAGGCTTCTGGTCAACAGTAGTCCATTATAGTTAAGTTTGGGGGGGGTCAGGAGTTATACTCAGATTTTTGGCTGCTTGGGGGTGGTGGCTGGCACCCCAACCCCTGCATTGTTCAGCTGTACTTGCTGCCCATGTGTCTGTCTAAACCGGGAGCAGGCTCCAGGCTAACAAGAAGGGCTGGCTCACTCCGTCCAACCTCCGCGTCATCAGATAGTATCTGAGGCCTGGCATCTTTTTTGTATTTCACTGTGACCGGCTTTCTTTCATGGTGCTATTTCCCAGCCAGACTGCCTCCAGAATCCCTCAAAGTTTCTGATCCTTGGAGAATTCTATTTGACTGTCTTCCAGGCACTCCAATTCAACATGTCATCAACAAGTTCTTTCTCCTTCCCACCACTACCCCTTATCTCAGTAAGTGGCAGGGACAATCCCCTGATGTTTGGGCCCCAAACCTGGGCCTCACCTGGGCTCCCACTCAGTCAAGCTTCATGTCTTGCTGACTCCAACTTCTACCTATATTTCATTTGCCCAATATTTCCATCCACAGTTCTACCATGCTCATCCAGGGTGCTGCTTTTTCTGCCTGGATTATTGCAACAGCCACCTAGGTAATTTTCCCTTATGCACATTTGTCCCTTAGAACCTATTTTCTACAAAATGCTTAGAGCACTCTTTAAATGCATGCATGTGTGCATGTGCGTACACACACACACACACACACACACAGAGCTCGTGCCACTCTTGAGGTCTATTAATCCTTCAAGGGCTTCTCCTGGCACTCAGAAAACATCCAGAATCCTTGAGCTGGTCTGTGAGTACAGCCTGTGACCCTGTCTCCTCTCCAGGCACTCTGGCTACTCTGTGTCTCCATCCCAGCCATACATGACTTCTCACTCCTGCCAAGGGCCCACCTCCATCCTAGGGCACGGGCTACTCCCTCTGGCAGGAACGCTCCCTCATCTCTTCACCCAGGCCACCTCCCACGTCACTTGATAAAGAGACGGATATCCTGTCTGATACCCTGTACTTATGGCTTAAAAAAAAATTTTCTGTGGTGTTTTATTTACTTGAGAAACACACAAGGACATTTTCATACACACATCAAGCATAGGGACCATCTGATTAATGTTTGTGTTTCCATCACTAGACTGTTGGCTCCATGAAAGCATGGATGGGACCAGTCTTGTCTAAGCTGCATCAGTATGGGGAGCCCCCGTCCCAGGAGGTATTCCCTAAGTGTCAGAGGAACGAAGTCTCCACCCTCTATGTACCTGCTGGGGCCCCCAGGCTGGGTCACAGGCAGCAGTTGGGCTATCTGCAAGGCTGTGGTTTCCCTGCGCTAAGTACATCTCTGTGCACACCAGGTGGATGGAAAGCATGGACACGTGACTGGACCTCATTGCTCACTTCCTGGTTTCTCTTCTGGTGCCGTGCTTGCTGAAACTGGCCCCTGGCACTTGATGGGGGCTGTAGTTTGGGGACAACAGGCAGCCCCAGGAGAAATTCCCTGGACAGCTGTCATCTTTTCATGGATTCCTCTGGGATCCATTTAGGCGGCATGAACTCGGCTCTTCCCTGGTGCCCAGCGGCCCGCAGCTGCCACAGCACAACAGGTGGACAGGGAGCAGCGCTCATCCCGCAGTCCATGTGGGGTTGCTGGGCCCCCTCAAGGCA